CTCTGAGCCTGACCAGGGGCTGCACCTAGGGATTGGGCCTGCCCTCTGCCACCCGGGAGCAGGCCTAAGCCAGCAGGGCGTTATCTCCTGAGGGGTCCCAGACTGCGAGAGGGCACAGGCCGGGCTGAGGGCCCCCCCCTCCCCCCCCGAGTGCACAAATTTTTGTGCACCAGGCCTCTAGTATAATTATAAAATACTAACATACCTTCAATAGCAGGCAGCCACTAAAATAATAAGGCAGATCTATATGTACAGAGAAACATCTCTAAGATATATCATTAAGTTCTTTAAAAAAGAAACAAAGTGCTCTAGCTGGTTTGGCTCAGTGGATAGAGCATCAGCCTGCGGACTGAAGGGTCCCGGGTTTGATTCCAGCCAAGGGCACATGCCTGAGTTGTGGGCTTAATCCCCGGTGGGGGATATGCAGGAGGCAGCCGATCAATGATTCTCTCTCATCATTGATGTTTCCATCTCTCCCTCCCTTTTCCTCTCTAAAATCAATAAAAAAATATATTTAAAAAAAAGAAAAGAAAGAAACAAAGTGAGATCAGTGTATGCAGCACACTGCCATTTCTGTGGGAGGAAGACTCAATGAATTTGCTCTCTTATATATTTATAAATGTATAGATTTTATTGAAGGGTATATAAGGAATCAGTAGTAGTGGTGGCTTCCAAGGAGGAGAAGTATATTATGGGAGGAAGGAGCCTTTACCTTTCATTGTGCACTATTTTGTACCTTTCAAATTAAATGATTTACATATATTGTCAATCCAATAAAACTAAATAAAGCATTTAATGTCTTCTCTTTAAGTAGGGTGTTTCTTCTTATCACAACTCTATAGCGCTTCTTTTGCCAACACTTCAAATTATATACCTTCCCTGGTCCTGCAACTCTCAGAATTATAGTATTTCCACTTATTTATTGAAGAGAAATTTTTTTGTATTTATTTGATTGCCAAGTACAGTATCTGGATTTACTAAAATTTAAGTTTTAAGGATTTTTATTTTTCCCTCTATTTTGTCCCTTTTATCATTCTTAAACCATTTATTAAGTTAATGAAAGTTTTTAAAAAACATTGAAAAATCAAAGTTCTATTATTTGACATTCTTTTGAAATATACATTTAAATTATACAGGATTGGGGGGAAAACAAAACACCTTCTGTTTATAAAAGAAAACTCTCAAGCTATTCTTTAATAGTCCCTCATTTTCTCAAAAATCAAAGACTTCTGTGTTTTTAAAATCTGAGTGAAAACTCTGTTTAAACAGGGCAGACACCGTAGTCCATTAGGGCTGCTATAACAAAAACACTGTGGGCTGGGTGGCTTAAACAACAAAAGTTTATTTCTCACAGGTCTGGAAGTCCAAGACCAAGTCTAGCAGATTTGGGGTCTGGTGAAGACCCACTTTCTAGTTCATCAATGGCTGCCTCCCTGCTGTGTCCTGCATGGTGGAAGGGATGAGGGAGATTTCTGGGTCTCTTTTATAAAGGCACTAATCACATTCAGAAGGGCTCTGCCCCCAAGGCCCCACATCCTAATACCATGCATTGAGGGTTAGCATTTCAAAGTAGAAATTTTGTGGGGACACAAACATTCTGCCCATAACAATAGGTACGTTCCTTAAATCAGAAACAAATAGTAACTAAAGGAGAAAATGATAAAAAAAAATGTACTTAATTTGCTTTACCACCCACCTTTCTGAAGCCAAATACAAAGATTAAATTTGACTCTGCAAAGTCTAGATTTAGTTGTGTGGATAACTTAATTAAATTGGAAGCGGAAAACCAAACTGATTTTAATGTGCTTATAAAAGAAAGAAAGGATGCATCATAAAGTAAATAGCCATTGGGATTGGTTAATGAAAGAAATGACTGATTTTAGTAAATGATCTAAATTCATACAAAATTTTCAAAAACTGTCACAGAGTATAATGACCAAGGTCCTTCCTTTGCAAGGTGTCCTTTGGCCTGGTCATGGTAAACCAGGAGGTCTGGAAGCCTCTGGAGAGTTGGGAGATTATCTTCTGAGGGCATTTTTTTCCAATAGGACTGGAAGTTCAGGCCAGAGTGGGATGAGTCAAGAGATCAGAAGACTGGACTGCCCGGCAGAGCCCAGTCCAAATTTTGAAGACACAGAATTGTGAGCTAAATGAAATGGTTGTTGTATTAAGCTACTAAGTTTTGGGTGTTCTGTTATGCAGCAGTAGGTGTGTCAACTCCCCATCAGCAGGGCATGATATATCTCACTTTCCCACCAACACTTGGCAGAATCAAGCTTTCTAATTTTTACCCATCTTACAGGTAGGTATATAGGCATACTAGCAAATGATATCTTAAGTTGGATTTCTTTAAGATTATAAACAAAATTGAGTATCTTTTTATATGCTTGGTGGACTTTGGGCTTCCTCTTCTTAAAGTTGCTGCCTTTTTCTTGATATATTCTAGATGTTAATACCTTTCCATTTTAGGTACTACAATATCTTCTACTACCCTCTAATCTATGGTCTTTGCCCATGATGGCCTTTGTTGAATAAAACTCCTGAATTTTTTATGTAATCGAATGTATCAAATTTTTGCCTTATGGTTTGTGTTTGTAAAGTTTTTTTTAAAATATATTTTATTGATTTTTTTTACAGAGAGGAAGGGAGAGGGATAGAAACATCGATGAGAGAGAAACATCGATCAGCTGCCTCCTGCACATCCCCTACTGGGGATGCACCCGCAACCAAGGTACATGTCCTTGATCAGAATCGAACCTGGGACCCTTCAGTCCGCAGGCCGACGCTCTATCCACTGAGCCAAACCGGCCAGGGCGTGTTTGTAAAGTTTTATTTAAGAAATGCTTTCCAACTCCTAAGGTCACAAAGACACCTTATTACAATTTCTTCTGTCTTCCTTAGAGTTCTTAGACCATTAGATCTTTCATTCATTCTGATAGTTTGGAAAGTGCATTTTCAAAAGGGCATTTTCCACCAAGTGGTCATGATCCCATGGCCTTGCTTTGGCACATGGTGTTAGATAGGGGTCAGGTTTTCTTTTTCTTCACAGTGAGTCAGTGTATCATCTATTGCACAATTTGCCCTTTTCTCCATTGATTTGTGATGACACCTTTGTTGTGTATCAAGTTCCCTTGTGCAAATGGCACTATGCTAGAGATCTTTCTTCTATCCAATTGGCAAATCTGTCTAAGGAGCTTATTGTCTAAACAGAAAAATGACAATACAGTGAGTGAAGACCTATATGGAACTAAGTATAAAGTACAGGCATAGTCCAAAGGAGTGAGAGACCAATTTACCTGGGATGCATATCCAGGAACAGAATTGGTGGATTTGTGGGGCAGGAATGAGAGGGGGTTCGGGTAAGAGTGGGCTGTGTCAGAGGAAGAACCTGGAGTTGGGTCTTGTATTTTGCACAAGAATTAGGGAAGGCACCTGGGAGGAAAAGCATTCAAGTTGAGAGGATGTTTGAGTTAAGGGACAGAGCTGGGAAACAGGCTCCAGTGCGGGACTGGAACATTGATGTGGCTGCAGCATGGGGTTGTAAGGCCAGGAGAGGCAGATGATGAGGCTGTAAAGAAGGCATTTTTCTTGCTTTCCCAAAAAGGTGAAAGAAAAGAGAGTCTCTTTTTTTATGTGAAGTGATGTGATATGTACCCAAGTTAAAGTTTGCAAAAACTTCTTTGTGAGTAATTAACCAATGTATGTAGATATAGAAAAAAATTAATATGTGAATGTTAGAAATAGGCCTTTGAAATTATTGTTTATTGGAGAGGATTTTAAAATGTAGTTTGTTGAATAAACATTATATTCAAAAAGACTAAAGGGTATACAGTAAAAAGTAAGTTTCCTCCCACCTCTGATCCCCAGAATTTTAAATTTCCTTCCCCAGTGGCAAGCACAGTGGTCAGTTTCATATTGCATAAACAAACATAAATCTTATATTAGTTACCTACTGCTGTGCAACAAATTGCCCCAAAACTTAGTGGTTTAAAACAACAAATATTTATTTATTTATTTATTTAAATATATTTTATTGATTTTTTACAGAGAGGAAGGGAGAGGGAGAGAGAGTTAGAAACATCGATGAGAGAGAAACATCAATCAGCTGCCTCCTGCACACCTCCCACTGGGGATGTGCCAGCAACCAAGGTACATGCCCTTGACGGGAATCGAACCTGGGACCCTTCAATCCACAGGCCGATGCTCTATCCACTGAGCCAAACTGTTTAGGGCAAAACAACAAATATTTATTGTCACACATTTTCTGTGGTCAGAAATCCAGCGGCTTAACTGAGCCCTCTGGCTCAGGATCTCTCACAGGTCATGGTCAGTTGTTGGCTGGGGCTGCAGTCACCTCACAACTCCACTTAGGAGGATCTGCTTTCAGGTGCACTTAAGGGGTATTGGAAGATTTAGTTTCTCACAGGCTGTTGGGCTGAGGGCCTCATTTCTTTAACTGGCTTTTGGCCTGAGGCCTCCTTCAGTTTCTTGCCACATGGGCCTCTCCACTGGGCACCTCACAGCATGGTAACTGATGTCATCAGAATAAACAGGCGAGAAGAGCTAGAAAAGTAAGGGAAGAAAAGAAGCCAATGTTTTTTATAACCAAATCTCAGAAGTGACATCTCACCTTTGCTGCAATTTTTTTAAATATATTTTTTTATTGATTTTTTACAGAGAGGAAGGGAGAGGGATAGACAGTTAGAAACATCGATGAGAGAGAAACACCGATCAGCTGCCTCCTGCATATCCCCTACTGGGGATGTGCCTGCAACCAAGTTACATGCCCTTGACCGGAATCGAACCTGGGACCCTTTAGTCCGCAGGCCGACGCTCTATCCACTGAGCCAAACCAGTTAGGGCTTTGCTGCAATTTTTTAATGAGAAGGCACATCACTAGATTGAGCACACACTCAAGGAGGGATTACATAGGGCATGGTTACCAGGGCTGAGAGATCATTGGAAGCCACCTTAGAAGATGCCTAACACAGTGTATGCTGTATTTCTACCTATAGGTACCTTTTTTTTTTTAAGCTCAAATATTCACACCTTGCTTTTGTCATGCAGCAGTGTATGTTTTGTAAGTCTGTACATAAAGATCTCTCTCATTCCCCCAGCAGTGGCAGGGCTTTTCAGCCCTGCTTCCACACTGAGCATTCTTTGGATGGGCCATACGCTGGTAAATAGTACCTTCTGATGGACTTTTTTGTGTGTTAATCCTCATCAGAGGATATTTTTCCCATTGATTTTTAGAAAGTGTGGAAAGGAGGGGGAAAGACAGAGAGAGAGAGAGGAACATCAATGTGAGAGAGACATATAGATTGGTTGCCTCTCACACATGCCCTGACTGGGGCTGGGGATCCAGCCTGCGTGCCTTTGACTGGAACCAAACCAGAGACCCTCAGTCTGTGGGCTAATGTTCTAACCACTGAGCAACTGGCCAGCATGGTTAGGGCATTTTTTATCTTTTGCTGCAATGACTTGCTGTACATGTTCCTTATTGGTGTGAGAATGCATCTGGAAGGCAAATCCTTACAGAGTTGCTGATCAAAGGGTAGGTGCACTTCACATTTTGATAACTGGCTGAATTGCCTTCCAAGGGAGGTTGCACCAGCTTATTTTCCAACCCCAAAGTGTAAGCTTTGTCTAATTCACCACACCACCTTCAGACATTGTTTTCACAAGTTTTGATGAAAAAGGAAAAGAGAAATGAGAAAAACTGAAAACAGAAATTTAATAAATAGCACAAATTGGGATAAGAGTCTACTATTTGCTAATTTGATCTGGATTTACCAGGGTATTTTCCTAGTGTAATATACAGATGATATCAGGCCCCAGTGTACCTGGAGACCTGCTGTGGCTCCTGTCACTGTTATCTCAGAGAGTATTTCCCTTCTGAGGCATGTGGTTCTCTAAGAGCTTTCAAAAGCTCATCAGATTCCAACTTCTTCTGGAGGAGATGACACAAATATCAAACAAAGTTTACACTGATTTACTTTGGAAATTATAGCTTTGGTAATTTTTGTCTTTTCTACTGATACTTCAAGCATTAGAAAGACAAAGACAGTCTTCGTAAAGTCATACCGTTTCCTGCTTCAACAGTGCTTGCACCAACCGGAGCTCAACCCATCCCAGCCAGCCACCACAATCCAGCCTCACCATCTCCTCACAGCACCCTTGGATGCCACAAGCCCCTGGGTGTAAGGACCGTGACCTCCTTGCAGGTGCACCAGAACTGCCACCAAGACTCACAGATCAACCTGCAGCTCCTATGTCTACTTGTCCAGGTCTCACTGCTTTGACCGTGACGATATGGCTTTTCTGAAGACCTTTGCCAAATATTTCCTTCACCAATTTCATGGGGAATATGTGAGAAATTGATGAAGCTGCAGGACCATTGATGTGGTGAACCTTCCTTCAGGCTCTCAGGAAACCAGGCCCCAGGACTGGAAAAGGGGCTGGATGCCATGGGGTGTGCGTTACAATAAATCAAATAGAATAGAGAGACGGTGTTGGGGTAAAAGCAGTCTTAGAGCCCAGGGATAGCTCTCCTTCAACTCCCCTGACAACTCTGGAAAACTTTCTTTTTTTAAATTTTTTTTATTTAATCTTTACTGTTCAGATTACATTTGTTCCTCTTTTTGTTTTCCCCCCATAACTCCCCTCCTCCCAGTTCCCGCCCCACCCTCCGCCCTCACTCCCCACCCACTGTCCTCATCCATAGGTGCACGATTTTTGTCCAGTCTCTTCCCGCATCTCCCATTCCCCTTTCCCCCCCAAGAATAGTCAGTCCATTCCCTTTCTATGTCCCTGATTCATTATAATCACCAGTTCATTCTGTAAATCAGATTATTTATTCACTTGATTCTTAGATTCACTTGTTGATAGATGCATGTTTGTTGTTCACAATTTGTATCTTTACCTTTTTCTTCTTCCTCCTCTTAAAGGATACCTTTCAGCATTTCATATAATACTGGTTTAGTGGTGATGAACTCCTTTAGCTTTTCCTTATCTGTGAAGCTCTTTATCTGACCTTCAATTCTGAATGATAGCTTTGCTGGATAAAGTAATCTTGGTTGTAGGTTCTTGGTATTCAGCACTTTGAATATTTCTTGCCATTCCCTTCTGGCCTGCAAAGTTTCTGTTGAGAAATCAGCTGACAGTCGTATGGGTATTCCCTTGTAGGTAACTGACTATCTTTCTCTTGCTGCTTTTAAGATTCTCTCTTTGTCTTTTGCTCTTGGCATTTTAATTATGATATGTCTTGGTGTGGTCCTCTTTGGATTCCTTTTGTTTGGGGTTCTCTGCGCTTCTTGGACCTGTAAGTCCATTTCTTTCACCAGGTGGGGGAAGTTTTCTGCCATTATTTCTTCAAATAGGTTTTCAATATCTTGCTGTCTCTCATCTTCTGGCACCCCTATTATTCTGATGTTGGTACGCTTGAAGCTGTCCCAGAGGCTCCTTACACTATCTTCGTATTTTCGGATTCTTTTTTCATTTTGCTTTTCCGGTTGGGTGTTTTTTGCTTCTTCGCATTTCAAATCTTTGACTTGATTCTTGCGCTCCTCTGGTCTGCTATTGGGTGTAATATTCTTTATTTCAGAGCGTGTATGCTTAATTTCTAGTTTCTTTATCATAGCATCGAGGGTCTCATTAGTTTTCGTGAAGCTCTCCAAAAGTTTATTGCAAGCCCTCAAAATTGCGTTTTTTAGCTCTATATCCTCCATTTCTGTCATGTTTTTTTGTCTCCGCATTTTTTATGCTTTCTTGGTGCACCCCCTAGTGGTCTTTGTGCGCAGTCTTGTTCTAGTTGAGCCTTGATTGTTGTAGTTAATACTAGAGGGATTTGACCACCAGGCCGACTGGCTGTGTGAATCAGCTGTGTCTGCCGCGGAAAACTTCTGTCCTCTGGGGAGGTGCTAATCTAGCCTTTGCCTGAGGCGATCCGGCAAATGGCTCTGCGCAGGGCTTGGGCGGGGCGGGCTCAACAGGGCGGGCGGAGGGAGCGGTTATAGCCCCTCTCAGTCCCGTTCCCAGAGGCTCTGCTTCTCAGAACCCCAGGAACCGCTGCAAACCTCGGAGAGAAAGCTGCCCTCACGTTCCAACCGATGCCAGACAATCCCGCCTCTCCCGTTTGAGTCTGAGTCCCTAGAGACTCGCCCAGATCTGGAGCTCAGAGTCTGAGACTCCCCCCTGACCCAAAAACAACCGCGCCCTCAGCCACCAGCCCGCTTTGCGCGCGCACCTCCGCACCTGAGTATTTTCCACACTGCGCCTCCTCTGAGCCTCGGTGTGCTGTTATTTTTCCTTCTAGTTGAAGAGTCTCTCCTCAGCCAGCCTTCCTGTGGTTCTGGGTGATGTGCGTTCCATCTTTTAGTTGTATTTTTGAAGTGGTTGTTTGCAGCAGCAGTCTCCGGTGTTTACCTATGCCGCCATCTTGCTCGATCTCCCTCACGTTTTTTTCCTGGATAATTTTCTATAATCAACTAGCTCCTGTCTGTGTATTTTCACTGAAATACTTATTTCATGAAGGTAGATTGTTCCACTGTTAAACAGTGTAGAGGTTAAAAGTTATTTTGGAATGAGAGAAATCTTTGCTCTGTGTCTGCATCCAGTGCTCCCTCCCCTGTCCAAACGCAGGGAAGTCTTTGTTCTCAGAAACAGCTCCCAGAGCCTCCTCCAGGCTGCCCTCCTCCAGGCTGCCCTTCCCCAGGCTGCCCTCCCCCAAGCTGCCTTCTCCCAGGTTGCACACTTTACTCTGCGTTATTCCTTCTTCCCAGGAATTGATTTTCTGCTGAACCCCACAGGATAGGCAGTGACTTTTAGGGCCATTGGTTGAGAGTTTGCATGACAAAGAGCTGCTGTGATTTAAAAAATGCTATAACAACGTTCATAGCAGCACAATTCACGATAGCCAAGAGCTGGAAGCAACCCAAATGTTCCACGCATGAACAAATAAAAAAATTGTGACATAAACATAGACTGGAATATTATTTAACCTTAAAAAAGAAGGAAATTCTACACATGCTACATCACAGATGAAGCTTGAGGTCATTATGCTAAGTGAAATAAGCCAGTCACAAAGGGACAAATACTGTATAATTACACTTATATGAGATATATAGAGTAATTAAATTTATAGAGACAGAAAGTTAGAATGGTTTCCTGGGGCAGTGGGCAAGGATGAGGGTGAGAATGGGGAGTTAGTGTTTGAGGGGAACAGAGTCTTTTTTTTTTTTAAGTCTTTATTGTCGAATTATTACATATGTCCTCCTTTTTTCCCCATTGACCCCTTCTAGCCTGCACCCGCTCTGCACCCCAGGCCTCACCACCCTATTGTTTGCTTAATCTCTTCCACCAACCCACTCACCCATGCCTTCCCCCTGAGATTCGACAGTGAGAACAGAGTTTTAGTTTGGGGAAGATGAAAAAGTTCTGGAGATGGATGGTGGTGATGATTGCACAACAATGTGTGTGTACTTAACCCACTAAACTGAACATTTACAAATTATTAAAATGGAAAATTAAATTGTGTGTGTATTCGAGACCCATTACTCATATAC